AATTGGTGGATAATGATTTTGCCTCTATTTCTTGATTTTTTTTCTTACCTTGTCAGTATTTTGAGGCACTTAAATTTACATAAATCATCTAATCAGTGCTTCCCAGTAAAACTTCATGTGATGATAGAAGTGTCCTATAATCTGCTCTGTCCATCACGTGGGTTATTGCACTCTTGAGATGTGGCTAGTGTAATTGAGGACCTGAATTTTTATTTTATTTTGATTAATTTAAATAGATGCATGTGTCTAGTGCCTGCTGTATTAGACAGTACAGATTCTAAGACAAATTTCTTTCTGCTCCTTCAGGATAAACACTTGTTATATAAGAAGGCTATATAAAAATAGTTTTCTGATCACAGTCTTCTCTCCAGATGCTACGTAGTTCATGAAACCAAAATAGTAGCAACCACTATTGACATAAAACAAATAACACACACAACAAAATTTTAATTAACCCAACAAATATTTATTGAACTCATATTACAATACAAACCAGGCACCACCCTAGGCACTGAAAAGTGTGCCATATGCCCTAAGAGCCTGCCTTCTATGTAGATGATTATGGATTGATTGATGACAGAGGATTTTATAAACAGCTTTCACTGTAAAACGCAACTTCATTACTTCAACTTCCCCTAAACATATTAGAGAGGGATGTTTGACAGGATGTAAACATAGCCAACCACTAGCTCTGTGAGATGCTCCAAAGGGGGGAAAAAACAAATGTTTCATGGAACAAATTGTGTCCTGGAATGTTACAGGGTCTCAAAATTCCCATATTGACAATATCTGTTTAATTTTTTCTAATCCAATGCTTACTAAATATGAGCACAGAATCCTATTTTTCTCCACAAATTCCTGTTAATATTAATTCTAAGGAATACATTTTGGGAATTGGAGAGTTATGCTAAGGAATTTTACAAGGCATAAATAAGCAAAAACTCTGGATAACCTATGAAAGCTTTTTTCAAAGTAGCATTTGCAGATCTTTAGAGGACATGAGTACATTCTCAGTGGTCCATAAATTTACTGGAGAATTTTTAAATGATGTGATTTTAATTACATGATAACCTTCAAATATTAATACAAGCATGTTGCGAATCATGTTGATAAACACGTTCTAGCAGAGCACTGCTACATGATTTCTCTTAAGATTGGATTCTAATTGTCTTACATTGATTAAAAAACAACAGAGATGGATTTAAATTATCATTTGCTCTAAATGAAGGCCAAATAATGGTAGGGTAGACTGTACAAATAAAGGTTTAATAAAGAGAAGTAGTGAAAGAATTGGGCCATCACGTGATAAACAGTAATAAGAGCGTGTTTTATCTCAAAATAATTCATTCTGTAGCAACTACTTCAGTCTTTATTGAAATGCTTCAGTTTCAAAAAACACCTTTCACATTACTATAATTTGAAGCTTACTTATTTTATGCTTTTGTTCATATTTATTTTGCAAATGTTTTGGTTTATAGAAGTAGGAGTTAAGTCTAAGGATCTTCTACCTAGTTTTATGTTTAGAACATTATAATTTTTGTAGGTTTGAGTAATATTATCAAAATGATTGAAGTCAAAACTAGGGTTACATACAAATTATTTATGTGTGAAAACACTGTTGTAGGATATTTCTGTTACAGTTCCGAATGCATCATATAGCATTCTTAACTATTTAGCCAATATTTAAAATTGGTTTGCATTCCATGGTTATGCATCATCTGTTAAATTTGCTGTGTGCCCAGGGAAGGTCTGGAAAGTATTAAAATCTCATCATAGATAATCATGAGTTGACTGTGTTTAATATCACTGCAGATAAAAATAGCTTTATTGAACTATTCAAATACAGCAAGGTCAGGTTTTGTGGATTTTTTCCCTCTCGATCTCTATTGTCTTTTAAAAAAAATTCCATACACAGCATACACACTATGCAAGGCATGCCTTCAACTACCACCTGGAGGTCAAGGATTCCAGATCTCTATTTCTATCCGTTTGCTCACTTGAATTCCAGATGCACATTTCCAGTACTCTATTCGACATTTTTACCTAAATGCTCAACAAGTATTTCAAACTCGTTCAACCCCAGATTCAATTCCTGTGTTCTTGTTCTAGATCAGTGGTGTTCACTTCCACTCTGTCCATCAAACTCAAAACTCTGAAGTCATCTTCCACTTCTTTCTTTTCCTCACCCTCATGTCAGCGGTCGGCAAGTCCTGCCAATTCTCTTTGAACCCTCACCATTGCCTTAGTTCAGGCTTGTACCACCTCTCAGATGATGATTGCAATAGCTGCCTACGTAGATCCCCTGATGCACCAGTTACCTTCAGTGCCAATCTAGCTTAAAATAGGAAGAACATATCTGATCTCAATGACAGTCCTCAGTTGACTTGCTTCCGCCTACATGAGCTGGCCTAGCTTCAGTTACTGAGACTTCTGCCTTAAAAGGCTGTGAATTCAATGAAGGCAAGGGCTCTGTCTTGTTCATTTTTATTTCTCAGTGTTTTACAAAGTTTTTAGCATGCAACTGGTGCTACATGTCGTTGAATGTTGACAGGGCACTAGTGAGTGGCTAAAAGCACAGGTTGTAGAATCAGACAGATCTAGATTTAATTTCTCTCCTCTGCCACTTAGTTGCCAAGTGACCCTGGGCAAATTAACTTTAAGACAGTGATTCTCAACTCTGGCTTCATATTAGGATTACACAAGGGATTTATTAAAAGGTCCCAGGCCCCCTGTCAGTCCAATCAAATCAGAATATATGGAGGGTGATGCTCAGGCACTAGAAATTGTAATAGATCCACGGGTGATCTTAAAATGCAGCCAGGGTGAGAATCGCTGCTCTTAGCCTTAATTTCTCATCTACTATATAGTAACTGTTTTGAAGGGGTTTTGAGCATGTGAAATGAAATGGAATTTAGCATAGTGCCTGGCACATAGTAAGTCATGAAATTAACACACAACCTCAATATGTAACCTCCTTCTCAATGGCTACCCAGTATCTGCTTTGCCTTCCTTTCAGTTCCTGGAATGTACCAAGATTTTGCAGCTTTAGTGCCTTCACACTTGCTCTTCACCCTGCTCTTAGAAGATCTCTATCTTCAAGTCACACCTGAAGTCATACCCAGTCCCCTTTCACAGTATGGAGATGTTCATCATCTTTGTAGCACTTGTCTCAATTTGAAATTATACACTAATTTAACTATTTACTGTGTGTTTCCCCAGCTGTACTGCAAACTTCACAAGGCAGAAAAGGCTTTTTCCTCCTGAGGCCCAGTGCCAAGTGCCTGGGATGTGCATGACGTTCAGGTGATAGTTGTTGAGGGATGAATGGATTAACAAATGATCCATCCTGTAATCTCAAAAAGGCAAAAATCCTTGACTTTTTGTGTCCCACAACTATATGTATTCCTACATCAAAACACCACCAAAACTAGTACTAGAGTCTCTAGTGTTTTGGGTTCTAGGTACTGACTAGGAAAACTCCAGATGCTTTTAATTTGGGAAAGGCTTCCAAGTCCAAGGTTCTTAGAGGCTTAGTCATCAACCCTTGGACAATCATTAATGTTAGTCTAACAATATCTCACTTCAACAAGGCAAATAAACTTTTGTGGGTGTTTGTGTTAGCTAAGTAAAAAGGTTTTTGTTTTCTTGTTTACCTTTTGTCCCACTCAGTTGGGAAACCAAACAATACGTAAGGTTAACGGAAAAAACTTTTCTGAAGTCACAGAATTAGCAAATCATTGATACTTTTGCCTATGAAGAGAATCTTAGAAATAATCTAGACCAATCCTTCATTTTACAAATGGGAACAAAAAAGCCTAGAGAAATCAATTTATTGGACATGATTATGCACTTACTGTCACAGCGCCAGGTTTCAATCCTTCACCAGTGTTCTCTCAGCCATATTACACTAGCTTCAAAGTAACCCAGTTATTCTGATTTCTCAGCATTCTTCATCAATTTATACTCTGGCATCAAGTAATTTGTGATTTTCATGTTTCCATGATAATAACAAATATCTAGTCCAAATTCATGAGTGTGACATTCAGATCTCATGTCTCAATACATCTGTCTACGCTCCAGGCTCCACCATCTATTTCATGTTTTTCCATCTCTGAGCTCCCAGAGAATGCACAGCTTCATCACATCTGCCTCCTTATCATGCATGAAAACTGTTGCCAAACTTAATCAGAAGACAGTGGCTCTCTGTATTTCTCCTGAGGACTTTGTATTCTGCCTCATACTGAAGTAGGAATGACTGTGTTGGATGGAAGAACCTTAGGAACTGGGGGCCACACAGTTCTTGCTTTTTAGGTCTTGCCCCTCCTTGCAATCAGTAAATACTTAAACTAAAACAAAGGTCTCTCCAGGCTAAAATCTTCCATAAGGATTTCATTGAAGGCAATTTTTAAGTGTTTGAAAAAGCTGGGTTAGAGGAGGCAAGACCTGGATGAACAGGACTCATGTTGCTTTAAAGAGAGCAATGATGTCAGGACATTTTGAAGTTATTGTCTCTTTTCTGGGTTCTTTTCTGGGTGCTCTTCTCCTTTCTTTTTAAAATTCCTCCTCCATTCAGTATAATCCACCCACATCCCTTTTTTTCCTGGTAGTGTGAAAATCTACAGGAAACAAATTTAAAACCTTTAGGAAACATTAGAGAAAACAAGAAAGGCCATACAAATACTTGCTTTGATGCATTTTGTTGCAAATTTAATATCTCCTTCAATTTTCATTAATAAATGTACCAGTAAAACCGACGACTGCCCGGTCAGCAAACAGCGGATCTACCAGCCTTTCACCACTCGACAGCCCACGCCTACAGCCGGCCGCTACCCTCGCGGAGACCGGAAGTTCTTTTGCCCCGGCTCGCGGGCCCACTACCTGGCGCCGGTGGGAACCGGAAGTTGTTCTGCCCCGATCGTCCGAGCGTGTCCGCGTCGGCCGCACAGGCGCAGTGGAGCTCGGGAGGAGTTGTGGGAGGGGAGGAGGAAGCGGCGGAGGGGCGTGGGGGCCGGTCCCAGAAGATGGCGGAGGCGGGGGTGAGTTGGGATTCCCCGGGGAAGCGCGGTGGACTTGGTGCTGAGGGAAGGGGCCTGAGGAAGGTGGTGGCCCTCGGGAAGAGGAACCGCTTGCGTTTTTGCAGCCTGGGAACCCTGCTGGCAAGTACGAGGAGCCAGGACCACAGATGGGGCCTGAAGGGCGAGGGGCTCTGCTTAACCTGGAGAAGGGTCGGCGAGATTCGGAAGGGGACACCTGGGTCGGGGAGAGGGTCTAGGAGAGGCCGAGGCTCCCCGAACAGTGGAAGAGTGTCCGAGCGGAAAGAAGGCTGGAGGACGGCGGGAAGGGCGACCCCGGAGATCTGATGGGGTGGAGGTCGGCGGGCTGTCAAGCATAGAGCTGTCAGGACTCGGCAGGCTCGTAGCCAGGGAGACCAGACTCAGGCTTGGGAGGGGGAAGGATCCGAAAAGGTAGGTATTGTAGAATGCTTAGAATCCGCCAAAAGGTATGTTGATATTGGGTTGAGGAGTGGGGCTTCGGCATTTTGGATTGGAATTGGAAACCTCTGGAGTAGGTGTATGGTAAAGACAAAGATAACTCTTTTCAGGACCTAGAAGTCGGTTGGTGATAGTTTCTGGGATTTTAGGGTTGGTCAGTGGGGATTGGCAATCTGGTAGAGGAAAGCAGTGTGGATAAAACTTAAGTGATAGTGATACATGTCCAGTTAGCATTGGCAGAAAGTTAGTGAAGTATGGCGTTAGCTAGGTAGTCTAGGGAAATATACCAGGGAGAGCTGACTATTTTGTAGGATTATTGAGAAAATGCTTCAAGAAGGAATGAATAGTCTTGACAGCTGGGGCACCGAGACTGGCCGGGATCACTATTGCAATGGAGCTGAGGATTGTGGGGGGTGGGGGTGGGGGGAGAAGACAAGCTCCTGTCTTGGGTGCAGGAGGAATGAAGGCAGTCTGGCAGAGGCTAGGTTGTATCTTCCAACTTTGGGGTTTGGCCCTGATAGGGAACCATTGAGTGAAAAATGAATGAAGGGATGCCCCCACTAATAGGGGCCCCCCAGAGAATAGCCCCGTACTCTTCCTGTTTCCTCCTTTTATTCTTTCTCTGGACATTACGTTGAGTAGTGTGTTTTGTTATAGTTCTCAGTACATACCTGATATAAAGTGACGAAACTGTGAATCATGTACATTTATTTGGTAAAGAAGTTGATTCTTTTTAAACTGACAACTGTTGCTTTTACGTGTGGTGGACTGAAAACGAAAGGATAAAATGCAATTTAGAAATCTAATGACAGAGCTTGTTTTCATTGTTATCAGAAAGTTATTCTCAAACGATGGAGTAACCTTTTTAGGGACTGAGATTTGTCATTTAAAAGCAATAATGGGATGCAAATGTTGCTTGCTTAATGGTTTCTGTGTTTGGGTTTTAATGTTGACAGGAGAGATGAGTTGCAGGGTCTTCAAGGCAAACATGTTTTTCTTCCTAGAAGTTTTTAGCGTCCATAGCCTATGATTCACATTTGTGTGCTTTTATTTAAGGAGAGTTTCATTGACTTAAGTGTGTTTTTCCTAACTGTAATGCTTATTCTATTTTGAGAATGCCATTCTAATTACAAGAGCATAGGATAAAAAAGATGTGAGGTAGTAATTTAATTTTATTATTTAGTAGCCTTTCTGATCTAAGCACCTGAAGAGACAGGTAGTCTGAGGGAGTAAACATACTTCTGTGACTGCTCTTCCTTTGAAGAGAAATGATCTTGTACGGTTTTGGGGGTGTTGCAATTGTTAAAATACAATTGGTACTTAATCAGTTCTTAAGGAGATTTTGTTTGTATGCTTGTTTTCAAATGCCTGTTGCCTGGAAGTTGTTTCAGTGGCAAATGTAAACTTTGATTTTCATCCACAAAGCTGAGAATCACTTATTTTATTTACATAAAGGTAATAATAATCCATTGACAGGAAGTCATAGACTGGGAATAATGTTTTTCCAGTTTTGATGATTTGTTATTATCTATCCAAACTATTTGAACTATTTTTCTTTTTGTTCAGTAACGTACTTTATAGAAATTGTAGGTCAGGGCTCAAGGTAGAATTTTTCATGTTCTGTGGAAGTTTCTTCTTTGTCAGTTTTTGAAAAAAAAAAGTATTATTTTGGTATTAACAGTAGTTTATCGACATGGCTTTAAAAACTGTTTCTTTTGTGGCATTTAAATTGTTTCTCTATGGTGTTTGTAGAAAAGGCAGTTGTGAAATGGGAAATACTCTGGACATGGAGTCAGAGTGCTTGGGCTAGTCCTGGTACTACCTGGCAACAGTTTTATAATCTCAGAAAGTTACTTAACCTATTTTATTTTTGTAAAATAAAAAGATTAAGGATTAAAAACACCTGCCTACTTACTAGGATTATTGTTGAGGATCTATTGAGATATTGTCTTTTAAATGGTATCTTTATACCAGAGACTTCTTCCCTGATCAGAAAATTATTTCTTGGGTAATCTAAATTTTTCAAATATAGGTTTTTTAAAAAATTTTGAGAATCGAATTTATTGCTGTTGTAACAGTAACATTTAAAGGTATAGATACGCTCTAGGAAGATATTATCAATACATAATCAGAAAACCAAACTTGAAAACAAACAAATTAGGGATACTTATTCCAAGAGCTTTCACTTTAAAATAACCTCCCCTAGTGTGTGACTATTATAAACAACATGCTTTATTTAGGAACTTAGTTGTTGCATAGTAGGCGGTGAATGGTCTTGTAGAATTTTTTACCCCTTTGATGAGTCTGGCCATTTCTAGGAGTTCACTTTACATGTTTGTCTTAGCAAGACCCAGTAGTATACATTCTTGATCTTGTCACTTCACTTAACCACTTTGGGTCTCATTTGCTTTGCCAGGAAACAGATCACTGGTTCTTAACTTCTCTTGGATCATGAACTTTTTGAGTACTTGATATAAAAATGCCCAACTCCCTAACCGGAAAAATGCACATATCCACAACTTTTTTGGTTTTGTTTTACATCAGACTCACATAGCCCCTGGAAGAGATGAACTCCCATTCCCTTCCATTTCTTACATTTTTAAAGCATTTTAACTTTTATTTTTGTCTCCAGTAATTATATAGTATTGTATTATTATGTAGTCACAAAATTAGCTTTTTGGACTTAAAAAATAGCTTAAAAAGTCTTATTCAGGTAAACATGAAACAAGTGTTGTGTTATTTTTAAAGACAACTTTTGGGGTGAAGTAAGAAACTATAAACAAGCACTTTCAGAAAGGTTGAGTAAACAGCTGTGGCAGAATTACATAAATAAACATTGTAGAAAGTCTCTAGCAGCCTGGAAATAGAATGCGGAAAGAGTCTAGCAATCAGTGTCTCTCAGTGGGAGAACATTGCCTCTCTGTGGGAATTTGGAAACATGTAAGGCCATGTTTGGTTATCTCAGAGTGGGGAGGGGGTGTGCACTGGCGTTTAGTGGGCACGAGCCAGGGCTGCTAAATGTTTTTCAATGCTTAGGGCAGTTCCAAACAACAAGAAATTGCCCTGCCCAAAATGCCAGTGCCCTTTGACAAACACTGGTGAGTGATGTGAGATGGGACCTACCACACCAGAATAGCTTTTTAAAACTGAAGCTGTTTTGTTCTTTTAAAAATATTATTCAACATAAAATTCCCTTTTGGAAAAATTCACAGACAGAAACAATTTACTAGATATACTAGAGCAATTTGGGTTACTTAAAATGTGTATTTACTCTTTGTCCTCTAGTAGCTGTTTTAATAGCAGAAAGCGGGGGGTATTGTTGTGTCTGCTGAAGTTTGGGAAATGAGGAGTCAACTCTTGGTCTAATACTGTATGTAAGTTGGCCAAATGATTTTTTTCTTTAATACATATTTTTACTCCTGGATCTAGTACTTTTAAAGAAAATTTATTTGTTTATGCATTTATTCTTATGGTCTTTCTGGTTGGACATTAATTTACATTAGTACCTTGAGAATATTTACAGTTAAGATTGTTTTCCAGTGTCTGTCCATCTTTTCAGTAACCAAATCCCCTTCTATAGGGGATGCCAAAAAAGAAGTCTAAGGAGTTGGGCTGGAATGGGACTCAAGTTTTAGAGGAAAGAGGATGGGTTTTGGCATCAGTCAGATGTAAGGTACAATTCCAGTTCTAATACTGCATGTCATGTGACCATAGGCAAGTTGTTAAGTCTCTTTGACTTTATATCTTCATTTGTAAAATGTGGATGATAATACCTACCTTTAGCATTATTTTGAAGATTAGAGTTACTATATGCCTGGCATGGAGTAGGCCCTCCATAAATGGGTGCTGTATCATGATGATAATGATGATGATGAATTCGGTAGATACTGAACACTGTAGAACACATGACATGCTGACGTGCTGGATACCACAGCAAGGAATAGTCTGCAAGACCAGGTCAAGGGGAGATGTTTTCTATGTTTTCTAGGATTTTCAGTAGGTGTTTAGAATATATTTTCCTATGAATCAGCTATAATATGTACTGTTTTCTCAAGGCTGCTAAGCTATAGAGCTCAGTGATGTTGTACAGTAAGTAGGTTTGTGAACTTGAGGATAAAACTCCCCCCTTGGGTGTTGGGCACAGAGCTTTGAGTGTGGTAGAGGCACAGTAAAAAAAAGTCTATTGTTTCTGTTTATAACGTGGAACTGATAGGCTGTGAAAGTTACTAGTGCTTACAGATGTTCTCATTTTCATACTGATTATTTCTAAACTCAACACCCCCACCCCTCCCTCCAGTTTACACATGGGTTTTGTTCCCAAAATTCATTTATAAGGTAGTTTGAAACTTGGAAGCTTCGAGGACATATATTTTAAAGATGATTAAGTGCTAGGTTAGGTTCACCTTCCAAAAGGCCTGCTTAGGAGAGACCTTCAAGATGGCGGAGGAGTAAGACGTGGACCACGATCACCCTCCTCCCCACAAATATATCAGAAATACATCTACATGTGGAACAACTCCTACAGAACACCTACTGAACGCTGGCAGAAGACCTCAGACTTCCTAAAAGGCAAGAAACTCCCCATGGACCTGGGTAGGGCAAAAGAAAAAAGAAAATATAGAGACAAAAGAATAGGGACAGGACCTGCACCTCTGCGAGGGAGCTGTGAAGGAGGAAATGTTTCCACACACTAGGAAGCCCCTTCACTGGCGGAGATGGGCGGTGGGCGACAGGGGAGAGCTTTGGAGCCACCAAGGAGAGCGCAGCAACAGGGGTGCGGAGGGCAAAGTGGAGAGATTCCCGCACAGAGGATCGGTGCCGACCAGCACTCACCAGCCCGAGAGGCTTGTCTGCTCAACCGCCGGGGCGGGCGGGGGCTGGGAGCTGAGGCTCCGGTTTCGGGTTTCGGAGGTCAGATCCCAGGGAGAGGACTGGGGTTGGCTGCGTGAACACAGCCTGGAGGGGGCTAGTGT